TAAAAATAGAAAAATTAGCTGGGCATGGTGGCGCATGCCTGTAGTCCCAGGTGCTCGGGAGGCTGAGGCAGGAGGATCGCTTGAGCTAGAGTTTGAGGTTGCTGTGAGCTAGGCTGATGCCACAGCACTCTAGCCAGGGCAACAGAGCCAGATTCTGTCTCAAAAAAAAAAAAAAAGAATTATTGACATATCTAATTGTACATAGTTTAGGGGTATGTGTGATGTTTTGATACATGTATACAATGTGTAATGATCAAATCAGGGTAATTGGGATATCCATCACCTCAAATATTTATCTTTTCTTTGTGTTGGGGACATTATAATTCTTCTCTTCTAGCTATTTAGAAATATACAATAATTATTGTTAACTATAATTTTCCTACTGTACTAGTGAATACCAGAACTTATTCATTCTAACTGCATTTTTGTACCCATTAACCAACTTCTCTTTGTCCTCCTGTTTTTATAAATAAAGTTTTATTGTAATGCAGCCGTGCCCATTTGTTCACAACACTATGATGCAGTGTTGAGTAGTTTTGACAGACTATATGGCACACAGATGGCCCTTTTCAGAAAAAGTTTGCCAACTCCTGAAGTAGACAATTAATAGTGTTTGCCACAAGTACCAGCAAAGACATAATTTTTTTTTCTGGAAATAATTTATTATTTTCAAAAGAGCATTCCAATAATCATGAGAAAAATCAGAACATTTTTCTCTGCTTACATGTATTTTACAGTTTACCATTAATTTTTATTTTATTTTATTTATTTATTTTTTTAGAGACAGGGTCTCACTGTATTGCCCTGGCTGGAGTGCGGTGGCACAATCATAGCTCGCTGTAGCCTCAAACTCCTGGGTTCAAGTGATCCTCTCACCTCAGCCCCTCCCAAGTAGCTGGGACTACAGGCATGTGCCACCACACCTGGGTAATTTTTTTATTTTTTGTAGAGACAGGATCTCCTCACTATGTTGCCCAAGCTGGTCTTGAACTCCTGGCCTCAAGCGATCCTCCCACCTCAGCCTCCCAATGTGCTGGGATTACAGACATCAGTCACCACCCTGGCCTAATTTTTATTTTGAATTACATATGGGATGAATGAGGAGACTTATAAACTTTTCAGAGCTTAGGGTCAACAAAGTTCTTAAATCAGCCCTGATTTTCAGGCATTCCTATCCATAGTCTGACTTCCATTCATTCCACAAATAAGTGCTGAGCATCTACTGTGACAGGTGTTGTGTTAGGTCCTGGATAAGGATAGGATGGATGGATGGATGGATGGATGGATAGGTAGATGGATAAATGAGAATCGGGGAGAGAGAAAGCAAGAGACAGAGAGATAAGATTAATAATTTCATGACTTCTCAATTTTGCCTAGAAAATATGTGTGCGAGGAGAAGGAAATATAGGCTGTAGCAGGTATGTGGGTGTTAAGGCCTAGCTGCTGTAACAAAGAGACCCCTTTAGAACTGCATCAGTACATAAAGAATATAAGTTGATTTCCCTCTCATATAAGTCTCAAGGTAAGTAGTCCACATTGGCAGGTGGCTCTGCTCCACACAATCAGGGACCCTGGCTCTTTCTGTCATATTGCTCCCATAGCCCCTAAGACGTTGTCCTGGCCTGCATGGTCATGACTGGGTTATAGAAACATTTGGTTTCCAGGTCATGGGAAGAGGAAGAGAGAGCTTGGAGAAACACACTCCTAAAGTTTTAAGGCCCAGACCTGGAAAATAGCATAGATCACCTGCTGTCATGGATTGAAGGTGTCCCCTCAAAATTCGTATGTTGAAATGAAACTCTAATCTCCATTGTGACAGTATTTGGGGATGGGTCTTTTGGGAGGTTATTAGGTCATGAGGGTGGAGCCCTGATGGTGGGATTAGTGTCCTTAGAAGAAAAGACAATATGAGAGCCTCTCCCCACCCACACCCCTCTCTCTGCCATGTGAGCACACAGCGAGGAAGCAGGCCCGCCCCAGACACCAGATCTGCCAGAGCCTTGATCTTAGACTTCCCAGCCTCCAGGCTGTGAGAAATAAATGTTTGTTGTTTTAAGCCACCCAACCTCTGGTATTTTTGTTATAGTAGCCTGAACTAAGACACTTTCCTTCACCATCCACTAAGTCACATGGTCTATCAACTCACCAGGAAGTCTGGGAAATGTAGTCTTTGGCTGGGCAACGATGGGACTAACTACAATCCAATTATTTTGGACAAATGAGAGAACAAACTTTGGTAGACAAGTAGTGGAACCTATCACATAGCGTAGGCTCACGAGTCCTTATTGACATCTGTGTTTCCAGCAGTTCTCAGGCCCCATAGGTACAGATGCACCGTCCCTGGCTCCTGGGAGGTTAGTTCTGTTCACCATGGCTGGTAGAAATGGTCTTCTACTGACATTGTTAGTGGCTCCCAGCCAAGGCAAGAAAATGGGACTACACCCATAAAGAGACCTACTCCCTGGCCTGTTACAGTCTTCACCTGGCACACTGATGACCTTACGTTCTGCCTCACACCATATTCATAGTCTCAGCAAGGCCTAAAACTTCACCCTTTACGAATGGTTTAGACAATTACATTCCTTAAGGAAAATTCAACAACAGTTTGTGCAAAGTACACAACTCCTGAAGCCTTAGGCCCCCGAAGAAATATCCCCACCACCTCTTTCCCTCATAAGGAATAAAAAGGATTAGAATATGGGAAACTTGCTGTACCAGCCTGTCACAACCTTAATCCAAGGGAGTGACACTAGCTTCAGGTATAAGGTAAGGGGAGAGATTGGAGATGGGGGCATATTTTGCCCTCTGTGGAGAACCCAGACTGCACATACACACCGGTGCTGACTGTCCCAGGCCTCCGTCAGTGCGATGCATCTGGCCTATATACAGCATATATCTCTTCCCTCAGGGCTCAAGGCGGCAGCACAGTCATCAGATAAATTAATTCCTGTTAATGTGCCAAGGAGAAGGGCGCTTCCAGGTCACCAGGGCTTCCCAGAGACAAGTTTGCCCTGTTCATTACATTTGTCATAGTGAACTATCAGGCCTAAGACAGGAGAGACTGGAGCAGGCAGGCCATGCTCTTAATAAACTGAAACCCACAACCTTCCAAGGGTGGCCCTGGAAGGAGCCTCTCCAGGTAGAGTCCAGGAGACCAGCTCAGTCCCTTTAAGTCTTTCCTTTCCCAAAGGGATCTTTTGGTCCCAAAGGTAACAAGGTGCCCAGATAGTATCCTCCCAGTGGAGACCAGCCCAAAACTAGGAAGCAGGAAGCCCCATCCCTGGATGAGGAAGAGGGAAGGGCACATATCCCAGAGCAAAGGGCCAGGAGCCTGGTGGACAAGGACAGGGACTGGGGCAGAGCTGCGGGCTGGTTTATTTCCCGTTTCCCTATCGCCTGCCAGGGCTGTTTTAAGCTCAGGTGAACGTTTGTGCAGTTAGCACATGAGAGTTTAAATGCACTACCTAGGTTTTGCCTTTTTTTAAGGAAATTTTCAAATATACCCAAAAGTAAGGAAACTCTTTTAAAGGACCCCCAGTACCTATGCTCAACGTCAACATTACCATGTTGTTTATCTTGTTTTATCTATCAACCTTTTTTAGAAAAATCTTTGATGAGTATTCTGAGTGTTTTAAAGCAAATCCCAGACATGATATCATCTCACCCATAAATTAAATGGCACTCATTAAATGGTGTTTGGTATATTACAAACACCTACTTTCAACCATACCATCTAGCTAGTGTTTTGAGCAAGAAGGTTGGGACCCATGGGTCTAGCTCAGCCCCTAGTTTCACAGCGAAGAGAATTCAGGCCCTGGGGGCAGTGGGGGCGGGAAAGTGGCCGGCCCAACGCTGGTGCTAGAGCGGGAACCAGAGAGAAGTCGGTCCTCCTGGCTGCCTGGTGAGTGACGGACCAGGCTAGCGATCAGCTTCGCAGGCCGGATCCTTGGAAGGGGGTGGGGGACCCACCACTCTTTGCAGACGCACACGCCTCTGGAAGCGCAGGGCGGGAGCGCGGCGGGCCAGGGATGCAGCCAAGTCCCGGGACGTGCCAGCTGCGGTAACCCGAGCCAGGGGTCCCGGGTCTGGGGAACAGGGGTGGCCTTGGAAAAAGGAGGGGGCCTGCTCCCACGACTGGCGGGGTAACTGCGCCGCCGCCGCTGCCGCCCGGCCCCCCCCCCGCCCCCAGGCACCATATGGACAGCAGGCCGGCGAGGCTGGCCCGGTGTCCGAGCCTGGGGCGAGAAGCAGGAAGTTGTCCCTGCGGGCGCGGCCCCTGGGTGTGGCGCTGCAGGTGCGGCGCCGGGTGGCACGGATGGGCGGCCGGTGCACTAGAGGAGGTGAGCGCCAGGTCGCCTTCGCGGCCCAAGAGCGTAGGCTGGGACACGGGAGCTAGCGGCTGGGCCCGGCGGGGTACAGTATTTTCTGGAAGGAGGAGGAGGTGCTGCATTGAGGCTCAGGGAGCTGGGATCCCGGCCGTCGGGAGGGTCTCGAATGGGGGTGCAGGGCGAACAGATTGAGGTCCGCAAGAGGCAGTGTGGCCTCCGGCCTCTGGGAAGGCTGCCGGGGGTCTCGGGCTTGGGAGAGGGGCGGAGGAGAGGACCACAACAATGTTCTGGAACAGTGAGAGGGGCTTGGTAGAGGGGCGCGGGACTGGTACGCGGGTCTCTGGAGGCGGAGAGGCCGAGGCTCCCGGGGCGCAGCCCGGATCCCGGGATGGGGGGGAGGGAAAGAAGGGCCTGCCGCCGAGCCGAGGGGGCGTAAGCAGCTGAGGGTGGGCGGGAGGGCGGTGATGGAGCCCTTCCAGGAAGGGGGCGAGGCTCAGGCGCCCAGAGAAACCTTCTGTGGCTGCCCAGGCCCCCGCCTTGCGCGCACGGCAGACGCAGGAGCTGAGCCGGGCCGGGACCCGGACACGAGCCGGACGCGCGAACGCCAGTTCACTCGGGCTGTGGCTTTAAGGGCGCGCGGGCTCTTTAAGGAGGGACCGGGGGCGTGCCAGGAAATGAGTCCTGGGCCCGCCTCGCCAGGAGGCGGCCTCGGCGTCTGGAGTCTGCGGGGCTGAGCAGGCGCCGGGGGCGGCAGCGCGGCGGGGGCTTGCCCCGCCAGGCCTCCCCCTCCCGCGTTCTTCGGACCCTCGTTCTGAGCACCTCTGATCCTCCCGCAGCCCTCCTTCCATCCCCTGCACGCCCGGCCTCCATTCAGCTCCCTGCACGTCTGCGCTTCCTCTCTTCCATAGCAGCCCATGCCTCCCTCTCTCTGCGCCCCTTCCCACCTTGTCCCCCGCCCTTTTCCTGCACCTTCGCCCCGCACGCGTCCTTTACACCCCCTGCTTCCATTCCTCTCCCCTGCCTCCTCCTTGCGACGCCTCCCTCCTAGGCCCCAGCCCCTTCTCCCCTCACAGGTCATTTCTGTCCCGGCCTCACCACCGTAGCCTGCCGCTCCCCGCTGCCCTGTGTCTGTCTCCTGAGCCCCCTCAGGGTGGGAGCCGTTGTGGAGCGGCACAGCTGGGCTCACCCCAAAGCAGAATCTCTCCATCCTAGAGGACCGTGGGAAGGCCTCTGGGCCACCCGCTATGTAACAATTGAGGGCTGTGGCTTGCGGAAGGCACAAGTGAGCTCACTGCCCTGTACTCCAGGAAATCAGGGTTCTGGCTGTGGGGTGACCCAGCTCCTCTGCTACCATGAACAGGGCCCCTCTGAAGCGGTCCAGGATCCTCCACATGGCGCTGACCGGGGCCTCCGATGCCTCTGGAGAGGCAGAGGCCAGCGGGGAGAAGCCCTTTCTACTGCGGGCATTGCAGATCGCACTGGTGGTCTCTCTCTACTGGGTCATCTCCATCTCCATGGTGTTCCTTAACAAGTACCTGCTGGACAGCCCCTCCCTGCGGCTGGACGCCCCCATATTTGTCACATTCTACCAGTGCCTGGTGACCACGCTGCTGTGCAAGGGCCTCAGCACACTGGCCATCTGCTGCCCTGGTACCGTGGACTTCCCCACCCTGCACCTGGACCTCGGGGTTGCCCGCACCGTTTTACCCTTGTCAGCGGTCTTCATTGGCATGATCACCTTCAATAACCTCTGCCTCAAGTATGTGGGTGTGGCCTTCTACAATGTGGGCCGCTCACTCACCACCGTCTTCAACGTGCTGCTCTCCTACCTGCTGCTCAAGCAGACCACCTCCTTCTATGCCCTGCTCACCTGCGGCATCATCATCGGTGAGTGGCAGCTGGGGCCAAGGGGAATAGGGTGGACATGGGGACTGAAACCCTAAGGAACAACCCTTCCAGGCATCTTTGGACTATCATCTGTCCCAGCTCCCCTGGTGCAACCGTCATATGAAGAAGAGTCTGGGGCCCAGAGAGAGCCAATAACTTGCTTAAGGTCACCCGGCAAGTTAGGGGCCCAACCAGGGCAAGAACAATAATTAAAAATAATAATAGCAACAACAACAAAATAAAATAAAAACAAAAAAAAAGAAAAGAGAATAATAGCATCAATAGCAGCAAAAGCAACTGATCTTGAGTGCTTAAAATATGCCAGGCACACAAATCTAAGCACTTTAGCCATATTAACTCAACCATTCCTCATAACAAGGTGGGATTATAATCCACATTTTCCAGAGAGAAAACTAAGGCACAGAAAGGTTAAGTATTAATAATTTGTCCAAGATCACACAGCCAGTAAGTGTCAAAGCTGGGATCTGAACTCGAGCAACCTGGTTCCATAGTTCACGCAGTTGACCACTATACTATATTGCTTCTCAAGAGCTCAAGTGTCCTGATTCCCCATCCAGTGCTCTTGGTAGAAGACAATGCATCACCCTCTGAACATGCCAGCTCAGGATAGCACCTGAGACAGTGACAAGAGACACGCTTTGAGAGGCCTTAGCTGTCTTCCCAGATTTGACTCTCAGAAAATACTAATTATTGATAGGGACATCATGCTAATCATGTCACATATACCATCTCCTTTGTTTTCCCAGAGGTCCCCTGGATGGTGGCATCACTGTGATAATCTCCATACAAATGAGGAAACTGAGGCCCAGAGAGATTAAGTTACTTGCCCAGGGCCACACAGCTCAGAAGTAGCCAGGCTGGGATGCAAAACCCAAATTGGCCACAAAACCCAAATCGATCAGACTCCCAGGCTTCAGCTCTCTGCTCTTTTCTTGTCCACTGGCCGTTAGAACTTCACTATCCAATACAGTAGCCACTGGCCTATATATTTAAATTAATTAAAATGAAATAAATTTTTTTTTTTTTTTTTTTTTTGGAAAATAAGGGAAAGTTGCCTTGGCTAGAGTGCAGTGGCATCATCATAGGTCACTGCAACCTCAAACTCCTGGCTCGAATCGATCCTCCTGCCTCAGCCTCCTGAGCAGACTACAGGCATGCGCCACCATGCCCAGCTAATTTTTTCTATATATTTTTAGTTGTCCAATTAATTTCTTTCTATTTTTAGTAGAGACGGGGTCTCGCTCTTGCTCAGGCTGGTTTCAAACTCCTGAGCTCAAACAATCCGCCCGCCTCGGCCTCCCAGAGAGCTGAAATAAAATTTTAAACACTCAATTCTTCAATTGCAGGTGTAATAACCTGATTCTGTAGCCACATGTGGCTGGGGGCTTTTATTGTATTGGACAGCACAAATTATAGAACGTTTCCGTCATTGCAAAATGTTTTATTGGGCAGCACGCTGGGTTAGAGGGTCTCCAGCATTCCCTTCCCTGGGAGTCTTCCTAGGGCTGTGTCATCTAGGAATGTGAGTTTTATTTGAACCTGTTCAGGTTTTTCCTGTTGCCATAAAGTTAATCTTATTTGGCCTACATATTCTTCACTGGTGTCTCAGCTAGGTATACTGGTTGGCAGAGGAAGAGGCCCATCCTGTCCTAGAAAAGGTTTCCCTTTGTTGAGCAACTGCTAGATCTAGGGCCGCTCAGTCTAGGTTCAAGAGGGGAGAGGGGAGAAGGGTACAGTTAGAGTGGGAGGAGCTGCTAAGAGCCCCTCTCCAGCAGAGCTCTCCCAACCTGCTCTCACTCCCCTCCCCGCCAAGGGAGAAGGTAAGCCTCACTTCCTCCCTGTTGTCCCCAAATGCTCCCAGGATCTCCACTTCCTTCTTGCTGACCCTGCCAGGAATGGAGTGGAAGGCAGGGCTCCTTGTAGGAGAATTTGCACGTGGGAAGGCGGAGTCACTAGGGAAACTGGGCCCAGATAGGACAGGTAATCCAAGTAGCTGATGGTGAGAGAGCTTCAGACTGGGGCAGGGGCTGGGGAGGCGGGTGCTCTCTGCTACCCCAGGACCTGGCCCCCTATCTGCCCTTTCCCCTTTCTTCCTCCTTGTGGGGGAAGATGAGTCTCAGGTGACTATTCCAGGCCTCTCCTCTCTGCACCCCCCTGATCCCCATCACATAGTACCTTTCAAAGCTCCTGGCTGAGAGTCCCTCTGTCTGGAGCTTTGAGGTTGCAGTCCCTTCCAGACTCAGAAGGTAGCCATCATGAAGGCTAGGGGGCAGATACCTGTTGTGCAAGTTTCTACCAAGAAAGAGGAGAATACTACGTGTTGAGTGCCTATGATGTAGTAGGTACCCTGCCTCCTTTAATAGTCACAACTGTCTCCATAGCAACTTCATTCATTCATTTATTTATTCTATAACTATTGATGGCTAAGCACATGTCAGGCACTGTGCCAGGCTTTGAGGGTACAAGCTTAGAAAAGGTAGCCTTGGCCCCTACACTCCTGTCGTGGCGATGGTGTGTGGCAGTAAATACAGTTACACTAGCTTGATAAGGGCCGTGCTGAGGCATAGAAGGTGCTGTGGGAACTCCAGCAGCGGGAGGGGAGCTGGGGAGGGGGCAGTCTATGCAGGCTTTCTGGAGGAAGTATTATGTAGGTTTAGAGGAAGAAGTGGGCACAGAATATTCTAGACAGAAGGAAGAGCATGTACACTTCTTCATGGCTGGGCCACAGCAAAACTGGTCAGACATGAGGCTGCCCAATCAGGCAGACTCCACATAGTGCGGGCCTTCAGTGAGTCTGGAAATTTCCTGAAGGCAATGGAGAGCCGTAGAGAGGCTTTAAGCCAGGGCAGGGCCTGAACAGATTTGTACTCTAGGAAGGTCATTCCAGTTGCAAAGGTGGAGAGTAGATTGGTTGGAGTGGGGGACAAGAAAGTGACCCAGATCTTCACAGAGGAGGGAGGAGCTCAGAGAGCTCCCAGGACACTCAGCTTCTAAACTGCAGAGCCCAGTTGGAGGCCACGTCTCTCTGACACAAAAGCTTTTCCACTACCCCATGCTGCCAGGTGCTGTGGCAGGAGACACAGCATGTAAAATTCAGCCCCAACCTGAATGTCATCTAGCTAAAGAAACCAGACATCTCCATGGGCGTGTGCCTAGCAGCCCAGAGCGGGCAAGGGGCTTTGAAGGAAAGGAAGGTCTGGGTGCTGGGGGTATCAGGAAAGGATTCCTCCCTGGAGAGGCCAGCTTTGACCTTGAAGAATGAGTAGAATCCCCCTGGAAAGGAGGAGGGTATTTCTGGTACAGGATGTGAGCAAGGACACTGAGCTCCAGGGTTAGGAGCAGGGAGATGAGATGGTCTCAGGGCGATCGCGGGACAGAGAAAGGGCTGGCAAGGGTGCAGGAAGCCCAGCGTGCCAGGCCGAGGAGTGTACACTGAATGGTGGGCAGTTTGGAGCCTGGAAGGTGGCACAAGCTTAGAGTCTCAGAAGGAGTGACTGCCCCAGACGACACAAGTGATTCTAACTTAATGTTTCCCACAGTGACATTGTAGACTCCTGTTTTGTGGAAGAGGAAACCAAAGCTTAGAGACCTGAAGTCACTTGCCCAGGGCCACCTTAACAACTAAGTGGCACTCATCCTTCAGAACTCAGTTCAAATGTTACTTTCCAGATGCCCCAGGCCAGGCACGGGTTCTCACGGCACCCTGTGCTATTGTATGGACCTCATTACAATTCTTATAATTGTATAAAGAAATAATTGGGGGATGATTTGTTTTAGTGTCTTTCTCCTCTGCTAGAATGTAAGATCCAGGAGGAGGTTTTCTTGCGCTGGGCTTTGCGTGTGTTGGAGACTTTGGATGTGTTTGTTGGGCAGAGGGACGAGGACAGCAGTACACAGTTGTCCGTCTTCCTCCTGGTCCTCATCCCTCTTTTCCCCCTCGCCTGCTCCCCCCCTCCCCGCTGCAGGTGGCTTCTGGCTGGGTGTGGACCAGGAGGGGGCAGAGGGGACCCTGTCCTTGATGGGCACCCTCTTTGGCGTGCTGGCCAGCCTCTGCGTCTCGCTCAATGCCATCTACACCAAGAAGGTGCTCCTAGCGGTGGACGGCAGCATCTGGCGCCTGACCTTCTACAACAACGTCAACGCCTGTGTCCTCTTCCTGCCCCTGCTGCTGCTGCTCGGGGAGCTGCGGGCCCTGCGGGACTTCGCCCAGCTGGGCAGTGCCCACTTCTGGGGGATGATGACACTGGGCGGCCTCTTTGGCTTTGCCATTGGCTATGTGACGGGACTGCAGATCAAGTTCACCAGTCCCCTGACCCACAACGTGTCGGGCACGGCCAAGGCCTGTGCCCAGACGGTGCTGGCCGTCCTCTACTACGAGGAGACCAAGAGCTTCCTCTGGTGGACGAGCAACATGATGGTGCTGGGGGGCTCCTCGGCCTACACCTGGGTCCGGGGCTGGGAGATGAAGAAGACTCAGGAGGAGCCCAGCCCCAAAGAGGGTGAGAAGAGCCCCTTGGCCGTGTGAGCTGGATGAGGACCCTGGATGGCCTGGCCCTGGGGGGATTGCTCAGGTGGGGTCAGAGCAGCAATGAAGACTGTCTGCGCAGACCCAGAAAGGGGCGGTATGTTGCGGCCTGGGTATTGCTTACAGACCTGATCGGAATGTGGTGGCTGAAAAGGAGCCAGTGTTTTCGAGTAATATCAGAAAGTCGCCACAACTTTTCTTTGCCCTCTTTCCTATTTCTGGGTGTTTGTCCTTCCTTAGGGATCACCCTAGAGGGAGTGACAGCCCTTCCTGCCCCCACCCAGGGCCTGTCTACCTCCACGTCACCCTGGGGTTGGGGATGGGCTGCAGCTTTGAAGGGACAGTATTGGTATAGCCATGAGGTCTCCACTTATACTCGGGAGATGGGGACGTGACCACACCACAGCCACCTGAGGGGATCGGGAAACCTTACCTCTCCAGCAGGCAGGCGGCGGAGCTTTGGCCCCACAAACCAGGCCTCCTTCAGAGGAGCATGTGAGCTCCCTCTGAGACCCGCAGACCAGGGACTGCTGGGAAGTGGCCGGTGAACGGGGTGGATCATGACAAAGCACCCACTGCCTGCACCCTGTATTTCCAGCTTTTGAACATGGGGAACCACACACTCTTACAGGTTAAACAGGGTCATTAACACCCTCCCCCAACCGCTGACACTAGATTTACCTGCCTGGCTTCTCTGCCCCTGAGGGGCAACTGCCTCTCTGGTGTCCCAGCACCTGGCAGAACTACCCGGCTCAGGTAACAGCCCTCTGAAAGTGGAGCCAGGGAGCCGCTTCTCCCCTCTCCCAATTCTGCCTCCCCCAAAGCCTTCATCCCCAAGCACAGCCAATGGAGCAAGTGTCAGGGGCTCAGAGCCTCCTGCCTCAGCCGTGCCTGGCCCCCAGATCCCTGCAGGGGGTGCGTGAGAATCAGACTCTGAGCCTCTTCCCTTCTGACGGTGATAAACACATTTACATTCTTCCCTGAAGCTGGGGCTGCAAGAACCTGCTTGTCCCCAGTCTCAGTCTTAGTTTATTGAGCTCCTATAACAAAATAGCATAGACTGGGTGGCTTATAAGCAACAGAAAAGTATTTCTTACCGTTCTGGAGGCCGGGAAGCCCAGGGTCAAGGCATCAGCAGATTTGGAGTTTGCTGAGGGCCCGTTGCCTGATTCATAGATGGTGCCTTCTTGCTGTGTAGAAGCACAAACTAGCTCCCTCCACCCTCTTTTATAAGGGCACTAATCCCATTCGTGGGGGCTCCTCCCCCATGACCTAATCACCTCCAAAGGCCCCGCCTCCTAATACCATCGCCTTGGGGGTGAGGATTCCAGCACATGGATTTGGGGAGACAGAAATACTCAGACCATAGCACTCCCTCACCACACTCTCCTGGCCTCAGGGTGGCTTTCACTCTACCTGTCCCTTCCAGTGGGCATTTTGTACCTCCTTTCTCCTCGGGGTGATTTGTGATGTTTTTAGTCCCTATAGTGAAAAGCTGGGGAGAGTGGGTGTTCTCCCCACTCCCCTTCCAGCCCCCCACAATCCCAGGTTGTTTCTAACACAGTTAGTGGGGCCTGATGCCCTGCGTGGTGTGATTTAATAAAGACAAGGGTGAGACATCCCGTGTGTGTGGACTGAGTGAAGGGGCCCCGGGGCCTGAAGGGGATTTGTGAGCCCTGGGGAGGAGCTGGGGAGCTGTCCAGGGCAGCTGCCCTCACCAAGCCTGGCCACCAGCAGGCAGCCTTTCCAAGAGCTTGTTCTCTCTTAGGATAATGGTCAATCCAAACACCAGGGCTCCTTCCTGGGAGGTAGGTGACTGCCATTTACTCAGTGTGTGCAGGGAGCCATGCACTGTGCCAGGTGTTGTACATCCACCATTCATCTTCACAGCCCCCCAAAGCCCATGAGGTGGGTGCCATCACTGATTCCCCCATTTTATAGAGGATGACACTGAGGCTCAGAGAGGACCACAGCAAGGAAGAGAAAGCAGTAGGATTCAGACAGAGGTCTCTGCCTTCAGAGCATAGGTACTTAACCACCACGCCCTTAACTATCCAGCTCTGATTCCCCTCTCTACCCAGCATTATTTTTTTCCTGAGCACCTGTTATGTGCCAATTACTGTGGTAGGTCATTGTCTTAGTCCATTTTGTGTTGGTACAAAGGAATGCCTGAGGCTGGGTAATCTATTTAAAAAGGTTTATTTGGCTCACAATGTTGATGTCTGGAAAAGTGCAAGATTGTTCATCGGCACCCGGTAAGGGCCTCAGGCTGCTTCCACTCACGATGGAAGGCACAGGGAAGAGGATAATGATTGTGTGGCGAGAGAGGAAGAGAGAGAGAGAGGAGGTACCAGGCTCTTCTTAACAACCAGCTGTCTTGGGAACTAACAGAGCAGGAACTCACCGCCATCCCCAGGGAAGGCATTACCCTGTTCATGAGGGGTGCGTCCCCACGACCCAAACACCTGCCATTAGGCCCCCACCTCTAACGTTGGGATCAAATTTCAACATGAGGTTTGGGGGAACAAATATCCAAACGATAGCATGCTGATCCTGCCCCCAGCCCAAAACTCAGGTTCTTCTCACGTGGCAAAATACAATCATCCTTTCCCAATAGTCCCCAAAAGTCTTGACTTGTTCCAGCATCAACTCAAAAGTCCAAAGTTTCATCTGAGACTCAAGACAAGTTCTTTCCAGCTATGAGACTATAAAATGCAATCAAGTTATTTACTTCCAAGAGACAATGGTAATTGTCTCTCGGGCAACTACAGACATTGAGTAAACGTTTCCCTTCCAAAAAGGGAGGAATAGGCCAAAAGAAAGGGGTAATGGGCCTCACCCAAGTCTGAAACCCCCCAGGGCAGACATTAAATCTTAAAGCTCCAAAATCATCTCTGACTCCACACTCTGCATCCTGTGCACACTGCTGCAAGGGGTGGCCTTGGGCAGCCCCACCCCCATGGCTTCGCTGGGCACAGCCCACATGGCTGTTCCCAGGGTTTGGAGTCTGGTGCCTGTGGCTTTTCCAGGCCGGGGTGGCCAGCCCCTGGTGGCTCGATGACTCTGGCATCCGGAGGGCAGGAAACCTCGCTTCCATGGCTCCGCTGTCCTAATAGTGCCTCTCTGTGGTGACTCCGCCTCTGCGGCAGGCTTCTGCCTGGGCGCCCAGGCTGTCTGACATAGCCTCTGAAATCTAGGGGAGAGCTGCCAAGCCTCCACCAGTCTTGCATTCTGGGCGCCTGCAGACTTAACACCACGTGAAAACCACCACGGCCTATGGCCTGTGCCCTCTGGAACAGCAGTCCAAACAGCGTCTGAAATCATGGGAGCCACGGCTGAGCCTGAGCAGCAAGGATGCGAGATGTGGGGTGTGACTGTGCAGGGCAACGGTGCCCCAGGCCTGCTCCCCAAAACCATTTTGTCCCGCTAAGGCTCTGGGCCTGTGATGGGAGGGGCAGCCTCAAGGATTTCTGAAATGGCTTTCGGGCCTTTTTCTTACTGTCTTGACTGTTAGCGCGTGGCTCCCTTTTATCCGCGCTAAGCAACTGTCGCCTCCACTCAACCATACTTTTGGGTTCCGCTCTTGAAAATACTCTCTCCTTCTCTATCGCGCAGCCGGGCTGCGAATTTTCCAAATTCTTACGCTCTGCTTCCCTTTTAAATTCTACCTTTAGATCATTCCTTTGCTGTCGTATCTGACCGTAAGCTGTTCAAAGCAGCCACATTAGGCTTTCCCGCTTAGAAATTTCTTCCACCAGGTAGCCTAGGTCATTGCTCTCAAGTTCAACCTTCCACAAAGCCCTGGGGTGTGGACGCAATGCAGGCCACCTTTGCTCCAGTTCCCGATAAGTTCCTCATTTCCATCTGAGACCTCGTCAGCGTGGCCTTTACTGTTTATATGTCTATCAGCATCACGATCACTTAACCGATCTCCGAGTTCCAAACTTTGCCTCACGCTTTTGTCTCCTGAGCCCTCCAAGCTCTTCCATCCTCTGCCCGTGACCCCGTTCTAAAGCTGCTTCCTCGTTTTCAGGTATCCTTACGGCAACATCCCACTCCCAGGTATTAATTTTGTGTCTCAGTCTGTTTAGTGTTGCTATCAAGGAAGACCTGAGGCTGGGTAAAGAAAAAGGGCTATTTGGCTCATAACTCTGACATCTGGACAATTCAAGATTGGGCATCTGCATCTGGTGAGGGCGTCAGGCTGGTTCCACTCATGGCAGAAGGCGAAGGGGACCCGGCATGTGCAGAGATCACGTGGTGAGAGAGGAAGCAAGAGAGCACGAGAGAGGAGGTGCCAGGCTCCTTCCAACAACCAGCTCTTGCGGGAAGTAATAGAGCAAGAACTCGTCCATAAGAGGGCCACCCCTACGACCCAAACACCTCCCATAAGGCCCCCACTTCCAACATTGGATCAAATTTCAACATGAGGTTTGGGGCAACAAATATCCCAACTACAACAGTTGTATTATTAATATTAATAACTTGGAGACTCAAATCTGCTTTGGGGGGCTCGCATGGAAACACGCTTCAAGGCCCCATAACAGGAGTCACAATGGAAGTCCAAGCATATGGCCCCGAGGACTCGGAAGATGGAGAGACCAAGCATGGGAAGTCAGTCTTCAGAAGGGACAGGATATTGGAACTGAGTCTTACTGGGTGAGTAGAGGCTCTAAGAGGACAGGAGGAAGGGCAGACAGGCTGAGGGAGCAAGGTTACACCAGCGAAGAGCAAGTTTGGGAAGTGGTGAGAGGTGGGGTGTGGGGGGAGGAAACCCTTTCTGGTGAAGGGCTTTGAATGCCGTGGTCAATTTAGACATGATCCTGTTGATTTTTAAGCTATTGCCAGCTCCCTAAAACAGAACAGACAGGATCATGTCTGCACCCTTTGTATACTCAGAAAATTGGGACCATATTCTTTTTTTTCCATTTTTTAGAGATGAGGTCTCACTCTGTCACCCAGGCTAGAGTGCAGTGGCCAGGTCATAGCTCACTGCAGCCTCAAACTCCTGGGATCAAGCAGTCCTCCCACCTCAGCCTCCCAAGTAGTGGGGGCTACAGGCATGCCACTGCATCCAGCTGGGACCACATTCTTAATGTTATTTGCACTTTCTTGGACAAGATTCAAGAGAAATCTAAATTTTAGCTTTCTACCAAAAGTGTTTAAACGCAGACAAAAATATACATGACTTCTAGCTTCTCAAATATGAAATAATTCATGAGTTAAAAAAAAATAATTCAGAGGGGACCCAACTCTAAGCCCACTATTGAACAGCCTTCCTCATGGTGCAACACCCCACACACACATAAAAAGATGCAGAGTGTGTAAAAGCGTTTGAATTCATGCATGGCCACAGACCCCCATTCTGACACAAGCAGAGCCAGCCGCATCCCGGGCTGCTCCCACCATCAGCACCCACCCCCAGCTCATCTCTGTGGTGTTTCAAGGGGCCAAGACTGCCTCCAGGAGTGTTTCCCCTGCAACAAGGCAGAGTGGTGCTCGTCCCCCAAAGAGCTCAGATTGTCCCCACTTCTCTCTCGTCCCTTTCTGAAGGCGGGGATGGGCGTCCCAGGCTGCCCAATCAAAACACCGGTGGGAGAGGATGGAGAATGTAGGAAGAGAGGCCTGGTTAGATGTGCCACACAGCTCTCCTGCACTGTTCTTCACTTCTGCTTTTGAGGAGCACCTGAGCAGGAGTCCAGATGGCCTCAGGCAAGTCCCCTAACCTTTCTGGGCCTCCCTCTTCCTACGTAAGACATGGGGGTAATCCTTGCCCACCCTGCCACACAAAATGGTTGCGAATTAATGCACATAGAGTGCTCAGCAGAGCACCAGGAATATAGCAAGCAATTGTTGTTATCGACATCAACAAACAACAGTCTCTTTGTCTGTTGAGTGCTAACTATGCACCAAGCACTGGGAGACGAACAGTGGACCAGACACTAAAGAAGACCTCGCTGTGAGCACAACATTTAACCTCAGGCCCAAACGATGGGAAGGAGCCAGCCATAGGAAGAGCTGGAGACAGGGTGTTCCGGGCAGA